CCTTATGAGAAAACCCTCTTTTCTACTGCCTTTTGTGCTCTCATTGTTAATCACACTTGTTCTTGGAGATTAACATTCTACAGGCTTCTACAATTTGTTGTCTCCATTACCCAGGTGTGACTGTTCTTATCTTACTGCTTCATCCTTTGTGGGTTTAGGAAGTTGTTTCATCTTTTGATTTATTCAAAGGAGGTGTTCATCTCTAGTGGGATTCTAGGGAGATGTTTATCCTTAGTGGGATTCTAAGGAGGTGCTTTTCATCCTTTGATTTGCTCAGAGGAGGTGTTCATCCCTAGTGGAATTCTAGGGAGGTGTTCATCCTTAGTGAGTTTCTAAGGAGGTGATTGTCTTTTGAATTAGTTTACTTTTTACTGGTTCCTCTGCTGAGTTGATAGTAATTTGTGAACTGAATTTAAAAGATATTGAATTGAGAGTCACTCTTGTGATTAGAGTTGACTGGGGACTGGATGTAGGGTTGGTTATACCCGAACCAGTATAAATTATTGTGTGCTCTTCTCTGTTCCTGATTATATTACCGTTTCTACTTCATCTGTGTTCAAACAAATTATTGACTCATAAATAAATTTTTAATTTGACATCTATTTTAATTTGTGCATCTATTCACCCCCTATAAATGTCATTTGTCTAACATATTACACTATTTTAAATAAAGAAATAACATAATGTAAAATAATTTTATAAAAAAAAACTAAAATTGTATTTTTTTTAACACATAACATTTTTTTATATAAAACTAAAGTTGTAATACGATTTTAAATGTATTTATATATGACTAAAATTACACTATATAATACATTTTTAAAAAATAATTAAATTAATTGTATTAAATAAATATATTATTTTAAAAAAATATTTTTTCATTATATATTTATATTATAAAATATTATATTAATTATTTTTATTTATATTAATTATTATTTTATATAATAAATAACAAAAATAGAAAAAATTATTATAAGTAAAAAATAAATTTATTTTTAAATTTAAATTATGTTATATTATTTATTTCAAAATTAATAATATATATTAATTATTTATTTTATATAAATTTTTAAATAATATATTTATCTAAAAAAATTAATTTAATTAAAAAACTGTAAAAGTATTTATTATTAATTTTGAAATAAATAATATAACATAATTTCAATTTTTTAAATAAATTATTAATAATTTTTTTTATTATTATTTATATAAAATTTATGTAAAATAATAATTGATATAAAATAAATAAATAATTAATATAACTTTTTATAATATAAATAATAATAATAAATTATTAGTTTTTAAATAATATATTTATTTAATACAATTAATTTAATCATTAAAAAAACTAAAATAGTGTATACTTTTAGTTATGAATGTAACTCAAGTTCTACTAAGTAATATGTCTTTAGTTTTATTAAAAAAAAAACCTCATTAAAGCCACAACTCATCCATTCATTCTCTTAGTTTAAAGCCCAAATTATGAGTAATTAAGCCCATCCAAAGCCCATACAAAAAGTAAGATGCCTCCTTGTAAGTTTGAGAGGCAAGGAATATTTTTCATCATTGGTTACTTTATGATTTATTTAATTAAAAGTTACATGCATAATATAGAATAAATTTAAATATAGTAAACTTTTAATAACATAATATTTTTTTCTTAGTGTTTTGGGGAAATTTTGTGTAGCCGTTTATATTTTTTAATAACACATATTTAACTGATTAATTTTTTAATATAGGAAACTTTTAATAAGATAACTATAAATGGATTATTTTGTCTATCCTTATTTAAAATCTATTATATTTTTAAAATTTTATAGTGATAAACATATACGATATAATAATATGATTAAAACAAACAGGCATACGATATCATAAAAATAAAATAATAAATAATCATATTTAATAAATAATAATAAACCACAATTGACAGCAACAATAATAATAATAACTGAATATTTAGATAATTAATGATAATAGTAAAATGACCATAAGAGAGATAATAAAAAGCACTATAAGTTATGACAATAGTATAAGTGATGACAATAATACAATAACAATTGTTATAACTGCAATAATAATTGATAATTAAAATAATAATTATGACAATAATAAAAATATTTAAGAAAGTTTTGATAATAATAATGTAAACAATCATAATTATCGTAATACTCATCATATACTAATCTTAGTAATCGATTGGTTAGTGATGATAATATTAATAATTATAGTAAAAACAATATATAAGTACTACACCAATAATAACCATGATGGTGACTACAATAATATTAAAAACAAAAAGTGGTAATCACAATAACCAAAATCAATAACAAAAGAAAAAGGGCAAAAAAAGTTTGATTATTACATATAATTGCTTATGTTCTAACTTTTCTTTACTATAAAAAAAAAAAAAAAAAAAAAAAAAAAACAGCATTTGAGTATAATAACTGCAATGCATGCAACTTGAATAGCATGTTGGAGTAGTACTTTATCAGAATATTTGCTACTATTTGTACCTTATTTTTTCGAGTATCATGTACAAATATGGTATAATTGATAGCAATGATTTGATTGAAATTGAACATGGATTGTGGACTATGGAATGAATGGTAGACATATATAATGTATTTGTTTTGCATGTGGTGGAACGAATTTGTTGGGGGTTTGATTAGATGGCATTAGTTATGTTGTCAATTATCCTTGATTTCTGGATCCAGTGGATTAATAAGTTGTCTTCAACTTGTGTAATTGTATTCTAAACAAATATATGTTCAGCTTATACTGCTTCAACAAGATTATAGCACTATAATTGAATGAGTCGACTTAAAAATAAGTAAATCTTTTATTTGAAGTATGTGAGATAATTATATATCTAGGTTTCAAATTCAATAATTATCAAAATGTAATTATTTTATACCATTTTGTTGAGTCAGACTAAAGATATTGTGAAAAAAAAAATATTGCATCAATACGAAAAGTGTGAGATAAATTTACAATGCACATAATAGATTATTATTATTATTACAATAGTCAATTATGTTCAACATTTATTTTAATTTGAATAATTAAGTTTACTCAAAAGTAATATTTTTTTTATAAAAAATTATACCTACTTTCCTTTGAATACAATAAAAAAATAGATTTTACATCAGAAAAAAATACATAAAAAACTAGAAAGGAAAAAATTTGCTAAAAATAATTACAACCTACAAAAATTAAACGCAGGAAAAAAAAATTTTAAAGAAAAAAATTAAAAATTTTAGTTATTGTTCTAAACGAACAACTTATTTTCCATTTCTTTTTATTAACAAAAGAATTGAAGTCCTGGTTGAATAGTAAGATCTGCGTGTAAACATGTCTAAAGTATATAACATCTAATCTTGAATTTCAACTTAATTAATGATTAAACCTACTATATTAATTAAACTAAGCTAATATGTAATAAATTTCCTTAGTTTAGACTTGGAATGTGTTTTTAATTATTACTTTGAAATTAACAAGCTACCTATCTTTTCAATTTACTTTTCGTTTTGAAGAGGTGGGAACCGTCAGATGAGAAAGTGAGAGTAATTTGTCCACGTAAGTAGTTCCACTTTCAACACACACAACGTCGTGGGTATTGATTTCTAAGCCAGCATGTCCAAAACTGGACACAACCATTCATTTCCCACTGGAATCACCATTTGAGACCACTCTGGCTCCGAGTTTCTAGGATTGGGCGTCAACTAAGTTGGAAAATTATTTGAAAATTCATGCCACCATTATTATTTTATACCCTTTGATCATAGCTCCACTACTATTTATATCTCTAATTATTGGTTAACTTGTAATCACACTCCTTAGCAAACGACAAATTGTCATCTCTACAATTTTGATCATCCTCTTAATTATTGAGTGGATTCTTTAATATGCCGGTTCTGAGGCCCACGCTATCACTGAACGATGAGCTTTTTTTCTCTTCCACACATGCCCTTTGCCAATTGGCTACAATATTCTTTAGTCAATGGAAACTTCGTTGTATTTCAACAAAAAAAGAAGACTTGGAACTGTTGTTTGTAACCAACCTTTTCATTCATATTAGGAAAATGACAACATACCAACTGGTAATTGATTGAAAGCATCGACTTACAATAAATCACATGTTTGCACTGTTTTGTTAATTTCCAATGGGTTGTTTCGGAAGATCTTGCTTGTATGTTATGATTTTCAAATGATCTTTGACCCAGAGAATGAGTAATTGATGAGGAATGATCTAAGAAAGGTACTTGGAAAAAAAGAACAAAAGGGTAAAAATGAGTTAGGCAAATAACCTTTGAGGTTTGAGACGTTGTGAGGGACCACATGCTGAGGAACCATCCTTGGATTTGCGAAGCTATCATCAAAATTTCAATGTCTAGTTGGTGAAGAACACCGCCAAAGTCCACAAAATAACAATCGGGGGAGGTATTTATTTGTCAGCATGAAGGGGGCTCCAAAATATAAAATAGAATGAGCGTTGTCTATTATCCTTGGTTGAAAATAGGCTTCTATTCTATGGTTGTGTATAAGCCAATTCACATCGACAACCCGTGAGTATCACCGTGCAACTGCGTTATATGTTGGAATACACTGGAGGTAGAGTATACAAAAGGAATTACAATAACTGCTGCAGTGACCAATATGATTGAAAACTGTCACATCTATTGATTAGTAAGCTTCTTCTCCTACTTAGAACATTATTTTTACGATCTTTATACAGTACATAGATATGAATATGAAAGCAAGTTCCGTAGAATTATTCTCACTTCAGTTGAGATAGAATTGATTTTAATGAATGTAAATAGGAGGCTGTAGTTCGAGTATGTGGCTCTCTTTCTTCCATGAATTTTGCATAATGGACGTTTTTGGAACCATTATAGCTACTTGAAATTTAAGTACCAAAACTAAGAAACTTCTCTGACTACTCTTCCAGGATATTATTATCTTCCGCCGTTTTTCATTGCATGAGGAGTTTTCATATGGAGATTTCATCAATCAGAGGGTTACCTGAACTGGTAAGATGCGTATCTCGTTTTATAATTATTCTTAATTGTAACTAAGGTGAATAAGCTTTCACTATGGAAGTTGATGGTGGATCATTTATTACATTCACAGTGTCTGACTATATTTTGGAATCAATTCATTCAGAGATTAACATTTAGTTAGGAAACAAGGCAAATATGTAATACATGAGTGAAACATGCATACACTTTATACTTTCTGTCTGATGAGTAAAATGTTTTCTGATCTTGCAGGGGTTAATGGAGGATCCTAACTTTCTCCATCAGTGGCAGTTAAACCATATTGATACAACTAGCTTAACAGGTTCTGTTTTTGGTGAGAGTTTGCTAAAGCACTCATTCTCTGGTAACACAAACTTCAACCCCAAAACATCCATCATGGAAACATCACCAACTGTAATTGAAAGACCAACAAAACAGCTTAGAAACAACAGCTGGAATAGCAAACACAGTCAACAGCAGACACCAGAGACACAATATGCTTCATGCTCAAATCTTCTTTCATTTGTTAATTCGAATTACTCAAATGAATTGGGACTAGTGAAACCTAAGGTGGAGATGGTGTGTCCTGAAATTGATAACAGTACTCTTGCAGAGATTTTGATCTCTCAAAACTTGGGGAATCAAAACTATCAGTTCAAGTCTAGCCAGGAGGCCAAAAAGATTGAACCACGTCCCAAATTTTCTCAACCTCAGGACCACATAATAGCTGAAAGGAAGCGGAGAGAGAAGCTCAGCCAACGGTTCATTGCTCTATCTGCTCTCGTTCCTGACCTAAAGAAGGTGCCGAATAATGTTGTTAATGCTTTTTAATTTTGCCATTATGATTCTGAGTTTAATGCTTATGTCTTTCATAAGGTAGATATGTTGATTATTGAACATATTGGAGATTGTTGACATTAAAAGCCACCTAAACGTAAGTTTATCAACACATTTATTTAACTAGTGAGATACTGATTTCTTCTTGCTTCATTTTGTCTGAACATATTTCATCTTAATTAGTCTCTAAAAGAAACTATCAAAGATTTTATATCTTCCTTTGGTATTTCATCAGTTCGATTAGGATAAGTATCTGAAATCTTTTGAATGTAAGACAGAAAAAAAGCTCTTGAATTAGATATGCAAGATTATATGCTAGTAAATAGTAATAGCTTTTGTTGCTGTTGTAGTTGTTACTAATTAATTTGTATCATCCTGTTACCACTTCCTTACTTCAGTCATTACTCTTTTTAACCTGAAACAGTCTTTAAGGTCTCTTTTTGCATTGTTTTTTACAATTTCCTACTAACAGATGGACAAAGCTTCTGTTCTTGGAGAAGCAATCAAATACTTGAAACAAATGCAAGAGAAAGTGATTGCTCTTGAGGAGGAACAGAACAGGAAGAGAACTGTGGAATCTGTGGTAACTGTGAAGAAATCTCAGCTTTCTGATGATGCTGAAGACTCTTCTACTTCAGAAACTGGTGGTACATTAGACGAGGCACTACCTGAAATTGAAGCCAGATTTTGTGAAAGAAATGTCCTCATAAGAATACACTGTGAGAAGAATCAAGGAATCATAGAGAAAACAATCAGCGAAATTGAGAAACTCCATTTGAAAGTCACCAATAGCAGTGCCATGTCATTTGGAAGTTTCATCCTTGATATAACCATTATTGCTCAGGTAATTTCTGCACTTATTCCATTTGCTAAAAACTTAGTAGTACACATGAACCAAAATCAATCTATATCTATCCATTTATATTGATCTAAAGTTCCAATATAGCAATAACGCCTGGTTCATATAATTAAAAAATAAGTGTTCACGACCGATGAAAAATTCTGTAATTTGCAGATGAATATGGAATTTTGCATGACAGTGAAGGATCTTGTGAGAAGCTTACGCTCAACTTTTTCACATTAGTATGAAAAAGTTTCATATCTAATTCACGACCACTTTATGCATATTCCACCGTTCCCGAAAGGTTCAGGAGGAGTGCAACCGATATATGTAGCAGTTCATATAAACTATTATCAAGTTAATGTTCTTCAATAATAATAATGTTTGCAAGGCCTGCAATGTCTGCTACCTACACCAACCTTGTTTGCTCTGAGGTTCCTTTTGCAGGAGGGTTTTTTTCATGGTCAACTTGTTGACAGTGTTATTGCCACCCTCCTGTTTCGTGAGGATGTAGAGCTTGTTATGCATTTTTTTGGCAGGAAGTTGAAAAGTTCAAATGTACCTGTTTTCCATCTATTTCTGACCTAAATCCTGACAAACAGGCCTTTGTTGAGTGACTTGTTATGTTTTTTTACCAAATGTTCTTGAGTTACTTCTATTTGCTATTATTTGAAAGAAATATGCTTGTAACAGTTCAGTTGAAATTGGTAGTGATGGAATAATAGTACCATTACACATCTTATGTATGTGTAATACACGATATGTTGCACGGCCTTCACATGATATTCTACAGAAGCTATAATAGCAGTTGGTGCTTGGTACGTATATGATTCAAAGAAACACAGATATTCCGTTTTCAATGACCTTATTCTTTATAACATGATATAGTTGAAATATTCTTTTTCTTTTCCTTTTAATCAATTTCTCATTTCGCTAGTTGAAAGGTTTAAAATTTAGAGTAATTAAAAACCTTTCGCTCAATCTCACCTATCTCCCCGTAAAAAAAATCATAAGAAAATCAAATGCCTTTGGAATCTGTTTATATCATCTTAGTAATTTTAACAAAAGTTTTTTTTTCTTTTACATATTTGTCTATTGAAAAATCTAAAAATACCATCATATTATATAAATATAATCTTTATAACATGAAGTCAATTTTATAAGACTAAATTAATATTATTAAAATAATATTATAACAAACTTTAGCAATAATAGAACATTATCTGGTATAAATCATCAATTATTAAATCACTTATTTTTTTACATGAGAGAGTGTATTAAGAAATTTTATTAAAATTAAAAATATTATAATATTATAATAATAAATAAATAATTTTTTTATTTAATGGTTTTAATTCCCACCACAATATTATAAATGGGCATCTTTAAATATAAATTTGGATTAAGTAGAATGTTATCTCTTTTCATCTTAATTAACATTTTAAATTACACGTTATTATTTTTATTTTTATTTTTGGCAAGTATGAGTCGTCAGTTAAATGTACTTAGGTTTAAACATTTCTATTAATATAAAAAAAATATTGATAAATAGAGACATGGATGTGATGAATATAAAATAAGTTATATATAAATAGAATAATTCCAGCATAGTTACGTTTTCTTCTTTGTTTTTTTTTTAACTTGCTAAGATTTGTTATTCTTTAAAACTATTATATTATAAGAAATGTTGAGATGAAAAACAATTCTTTTAAAAATACTTTTTGAATCAGTTGATTTTTAATAATAATAATAAATAAATAAATAACTGAGTCTATTGTTTTAAAAGTGATTTGGTGCTTATAATGTTTTATTAAAAAGAGGAGCCGGCACGTGGCACTTATGTCATTTGACAATTACACATCCCAGGTCAAGAGGATATACAATTAACAACTTGATCTAGATAACCCACAAGATTTGTAAAGCCAATTTGAAATATTACAGCACTTTTGTCTTCTTAAGATTGGTATCTATGTATTTGTTTTAAAAATATATGTTCAATCTTTGTTAGGATTTCTTTATAATTCTAGTTCCCGTGTTATCATGACTTCGTACATGACTCATATTTTTATCATCAATTGTAATAATTTGTTTTCTCATCCTACAAATGTCATTTTTATCTTCTCTATTTTATATTCATCTTCGTTTACTCTTCTCTTGTTATTTTTAATGCATTTTTTATTTTAATTATATCTCTTATTATACATTTCAATTTTTCCATGGATAGTTAAATTTTTGTATTAATTTTTAGAGGAGAATGTAATATATCTCTAAGGTTTCGTTTGTTCTTTTAACTCTTCATCTCTTAATCTCAGTGTTGAATTATATTATGTTTATGCTTAATAAACCGAAACTAATATCACAGTTTGTTTAATCTTGTGTTAGAGATGAGATTATATGATATATACAATGCTTAATTATATAAGGATAATTTAGATTAATCTTCGCTTAGTTGGTTAATTTCGAGTTAGAATAAGGGTTAAAACAATCTAATTTTATAACCTAAGATAAGTGATATTGTATTCGAATCACGAAATCAATTATTTTCTCGACTATTTTACTCAAATTATATTTTCGTTAATTTCAAATTTAATTACTTGCACTATTTTATTTCAAAACAATTTTTTATTCTTGGACTTTAATTAAAAACACTTTATTTTAATTTTATAAATTTCAATTATTTAAATTCAGTTTTCGTTTAATTTTAATTGTTGTTAATATTCTATAACAATTTGATTTTAATTTTTATTATTACGCATCAATTTATTTCTTTTTTACTCATTCATTCATTCTCCTATTTATTGTTATTTAATGTTTTAGAGAGAATGATACGTAATAATGAGTATGTTCTTATAATTGTGACCTTTTGAGATTCAACATGGGTATTCTCTCTAAAACATTAAATAATAGTAAATAGGGAAATGAATGAATGAGTAAAAAGGAAATAAATTGATGCAGAATAATAAAAGTTAAAATCAATTTGCTATAGAATATTAACGACAATTAAAATTAAACAGAAACTGAATTTAAATAATTAAAATTTATAAAATTAAAATAAAGTGTTTTTAATTAAAGTGCAATAATCAATAATTGTTTTGAAATAAAATAGTGCAGTAATTAAATTTGAAATTATTGAAAATAGAATTTGAGTAAAATAGTGAGAAAACAATTGATTTTCTGATTCGAATGCAAGTATCATTTATCCTAGATTACGAAATTAAATTGTTTTAACCTTTATTCCAACTCAAAATTAACCAATTAACCAAATATTAATCCAAATTATCCTTATACAATTAAGCATTGCATACTCACATAATTTCATCTCTAACACATGATTAAACAAACTGTGATATTTGTTTCAGTTTATTAAGCATAAATAAATTATAATTCAACACTAAGATTAGGAGATGAAAAGTTAAGAGAACAAACAAAACCTCAAAGATCTACTATATTTTCTTCAGAAAATTAATACAAAAATTTAACTATTCATGAAAAAATTGAAATGCAGTAGAAGAGACATAATTAAAATTGAAACAAATACTGCATTAAAAATAATGACAGAAAAGTAAACGAACGTGAATATAAAATACAAAAGACGAAAATGACATTTTGATGATGTGTCTCCTCGTGATGTACCTGTTTTAACCCTACGTGATCACTAACATAAATAACTCTAGACCCTAATCTTAATCTAGGTTTTGGGCTCACTGACTCACAAAACATATCAGAAACAAATAAAACAAAAATCCTAATCCTAATGGATAACTGACATGGCATCGACTCAATCTTTCAAGCTCAAAATTTCTTTAAATTGTTCTAAAAATAATAATAAAAAAAATTAGATCAAATAGATTCAAATTAATAAAAATCTGAATTATTAACTCAATAAAACTCAATTAATAAAATTTTACTAATAACACACAGACAATTAAACTCAAAATTAAAAATAAGTAAAAAAATATAAGAAAATATGAAAATACAATGACTCATCACTATTTAAAAAAGATTGACCATCATCACTTGTATTAATCATAAATAATTCATCATTTGAATTAAAATCTAAAATCATTTCATTCGTTATGATAAAAGTTAAATAATATAAGTGAGCGATTTTTAAAATACAGTAAAAAGTATGATTGATTTTTTTTTTTTTTTAAATTATAGAAGTTGCAGGTTAGAATAAGATTGAAAACGTGAAGTCCTTAATTGGTGGATATTTTTCAGTTACCTCATATTTCTTTTATACATAAGGATGGTAAAATGGGTCAGTCCGTGAGTCGGCCCACTAGCCCACCATAATATAGTGGGGTGGATTGGTGTTTTCAGCCCATCAACCCGTTTTGGCCCGTCTCGCCAATGCCGATGGGCCGACCGCGACCCACCTAATTAATAAAAAAATAATTTTTTATTGAAATAAAATTAATTATAAAGATAATATATAAAGTTAAAAATTTTAAAAAGAGAATTAAAAAATTTCCACTCTCACATAAAATATTTTCTTTCTTGAAACACAACCTTCTCTCTTGTTCTCCTTGTTCATCTTAAACACCGATTATTTTTATTCTTATGACTTGAATTAAAGGTGTAAGAATTACTCAACCAAAAATAATGTGAAGTTTTATCAAATAAAAAAGATATAGCTATTTGAATTTTTTAATATAAAAAATATAAATTTTATAAGTTTTAACGTTATATATATATATATATTTGTTATTTTTTATTATTATGTAAATTTTATTATTGTTCTAAATTATAATTTCTTAAAATAATATATTGATTTATATTATTAAATTGAAATAATATATATATATATATATTGAATTATTGACAAACAAATAATAATATTATTAAATTTATTAAAAAAATTATTTTAAAAAATAAATTATTTTTTCTAAATTATGACAAGCCAGTCCACTGACCGGCAACCTGCCTCTTGGCGGGACGAGTCAAGGTCTACCGTCTGTCATGATTATATCGGGCTAGCCCGCCTCGTCCCGCTTTTGGCGGGCCAAAGGCGAAGACGGGACCAAAAAAGGGAACGGACTGACCCGTTTTGCCATCCCTATTTATACATAATTTTTTTATAACTTACTATTAAGAATTTCCTTAATTGATTGATATTTTAGAACTTGATGCACTCTTGTACTCGATAATGTGGTTTTCTTGTATTTTCCTTATCCTTATTAGCAACACAACTTTGTTTATTATTCCCAAATAATGGTAGTTATTCAAACCGGTTAAAACACGAAGTTAATATTTATTAGTAAATCGGTTATTTAATTAACATTAAGAAATTAATATAATTAAATTATATATCAAATAATATATACAGTATAATAATTTAATAATACTAGAAACTAAAAAATGACACATTTATAAATTTTTAATATTTAAAATAACAAAATTATAATATTTAAAATTAGGATTCAATAATATATAGCAATATTCTTTAAAAATAACGATTTTTAATAATATTATAAACATTTTCCTTAAATAGATGTGAAATAAATTTTAACAGGTTCACCATTTTTTAAACTAATTATATGGTTGAAATGGATCGAGCATTAAACTAGTTTATCAGTTTTCCAATTGAATAACAATCTAATTTTATTCTTACAATATAAGTCGAAGCAATTAGTGTTCAATATTATTTTTATTTTTAAATCACGACTCATTTGTTAACTTGTTATAAAACTATGTTTACTGCATACTATTAACATTTTAAATTTTATTTCTTATGTTATAAATATCATGTTTACTGTAAACTATTTGATACAATGTATACATTTTAATTTAATTTAATTTTATGAAAAAAGGAAAATCTTCTGGACATTTTTCTTTTTCAAATAAGAGTTTTTTATATATGTTCACACAATTTAAGTCACATTTTCCCATTATCCCATATCTTATCCTACATCTCTTATTTATCTAAAAAAATTATTATTCATATTTAAGATTTTTATTCATTATATTTTAAATTAATCTTTCTAAAATTTGTACATAATAAAAAATATTTTAAAAAAATATTTTAAAATATTTTTAGAAAGGTAGGTTTAGAATATTTTTAAAAATCTCATTTTGAAAAATACTGAATAAAAAAATTATATAAAATAAATATTATTTTTTGAATTAATCTTTTCGAAATGATAAAATTATATTATATATTTTATAATTTGAAACTTGAAAAAATTAAATATTTTCATATTCATTCATCCTAAATATTTCTTTATTTTTCAATCAAAATACTCTAAAACATCTTTTTGATAACAGGTTTCATAAAAATGACAAAAGTGTTATATTTTTTAAAATAAATATGGGATAAAAAATAAAATATAGAATGAAAGAGTGTGCTCAACTTAATTGTTATGTGAATATATCAAATCCAAAATAATCACTAAATTTAAATAATATCATAATTTTTTGGATCAAAATTTACCAATATTATTAAATATTAAATGAACTTATAAAATAAAACAGTAACACTAACAACAGGGTGTTGTGGTGTAGTTGGTTATCACGTCAGTCTAACACACTGAAGGTCTGCGGTTCGAATCCGGGCGACGCCAGAAGTATTTATTTCGTTATCGCATTTTTCTCAAAATCACATAAATCATGCAAAACGTCCTCGTTTAAGGGTTCGATTCGGTCCAAAAAACACCGAAATGGTATAATTTAAAAAATATTATCGATTTAGATAATTTTAAAAAAAAATTAGTGAATAAAGCATACTTAATAAGACAATTAAAAAAAAACAATCTTATAATCAAACACGATTTTAATTAATTTATATATATATATATATTAGTGAAGTCGTGTTATTCTACTTCACTTATTTTACATATATAATAATTATTTATATTTATTTATTATTAATCTTAAATTTATTATAAATAAATAAATCGTTAATATTTATTATGAATGTTATTATTGTTATCATTAATTAACTATAATAACATTAATAATTATAATAAGTAATAAATATAATAATAACAATAAGTAATATTTATTTCATTCATAATATTTTTATCTCTAATATTATTTTTATTTTTATTATTAATATTATTATTACTTTTAATATTTTTAATATTAAAATTATCATAATTATATTTTGTTAATGATAAATTTTATCATAATAATTACATTAAAAATTAAAAGAATTCATTAAATAATGATTGTTATTAACTAAAAAACTAACATTAAAAATTAAAATATTTGTTAAATAAATTTCTTTATTGATACTTATTATTATAAATATAATAATAAAAATATTATTAATAAAAAATGTTAAACTACTATTAATAATAAATATAAAAATTGGTGCTTTTCCTAGATTCGTCCCCGCAATAAATGCCACGTACTTTGAGAAATCCACGGTAGATAGCAAAATCTACAAAAATATATCCCGCCACATTTCAACCACCAATCACATTCCTCCACAAATAAGTTTCTCCATCCTCATTGGTCCACGTCATATCACCCAGAACCTTCTATCCGAAAAACCAAACTACTATATATATATATATGAACATATTTTCATAATCCAACATGACAATACGCTCATCACTGTGGGACCAATTTTGAATCACACCATGAAATCGCTTCTCCACTTCGGAATCGTGTTCCTCCTCTTCCATTCTTGCCTGGCCTCTGAAATCCCCTACCACAAGGCCATTTCCGTATGTCCGATCGATTCATTTTTTTTTTTTAAACTTTAAAGATAGTATTATCGTAGGTTCTGATTCTATTGTTTGGCGTTTATTGTTTATGTAGGATTTGAAGGATTCGATTGTGAAAGGATTTGGATTTACGTCTGAGGATGAAGTGAAGATTACGGGATTCGATCCTCGAGAGGCTGAGGTGGGGCATTCCGTGGAATACCGATTCGACTTAGAAATCGATCATCAGGTTATTCCCTTCAAACTACTGGAAGACGTGAAACGCTGGGATTACGTGGATCTTCCTATTTTCCGGGCTCAGGACCAGGTCCATACCGGCTTGGTCCCGAAACGGGCCTCGGCTAATGACCTTCCCGTTCTGGCTCCCTTCGTCCTCGCTGGGCCCATGGAACTCTGGATTCACGACGCCAATGACATGAGACTCTCTCTGCCTGTGAGCCCTAATTTCAATTCAACCTAATTTTTCTATTAATCAATGGTTGTCATTTGTAATTGTGAATTAATCTGGTTGTAGCATGACGTGGATGCTGGTGTGTTGAAGAAAGTGATTTTGGCGGAGGGAGCGGCGGTTACCGTCAAAGGTGCAAGATCCGTTAGTCTCCGGCAACCGCTTGATTTCCCTCTTCCGTTAAACCGAACGGAGAATGGTTTTGCTAACGGACTTTTAACCCTTGCTCAACATATTCGCCATGCTTCTAGAACCCAGGCTTCTTCGATTATGTCGCTGCGAATCGTTGGTCCTACGTCGATCGCAGCAGCGCCGTCCGACACAACAACCTCAACCTCGTTGAAGCTCAAACGTCTTGCACCTGGTCTTGTGGAATTGTCTTCGCCCTTGAGGACCAAAGATATTGAGTCATTTTCGAGCGTTGATCTTGAGGGTGAGGCGCCGACGATTCTTTCACCCAGTCAGTTTTCGACTTTGTGGCCTCTCTCGTCGCTTAATGGATCGAATGCGAACTTGTTGGGGTTTGAAAAACTCTTACATTCTGTGTTGGGTGATAAGGCTAACAAGAAAGGTTCCTTTAGGTTAGTGAAGGCTGTTGTTTCTGCTCAGACTTACGTGAAGATTGGTTTCAAAGCTGAGAAGAAGGTGAAGGAAGGGGAGTTGGAGGGTTACCCTGCGTGGAGGACTAAGCCTGAGACCGTGACGACGCAGTTTGAGGTGCTGGCTAAGGTTGATGGGGAGGAAGTGGTGCCGGAGAAAGTTATACCGGTGAAACCTGTTGTTAAGTTGGATAATGTGGCGCCCAATTTACTCACTGGAAATGTTTCTATGTCGAAGACACAAGATGTTCACCCTCCGCCCAACCCCTTTTTCTTGTAAATTGTGGAAGCGAAAAGGGGATGCATGATTTTCTATAATCTACTAATTATAAGAGAGAGGATGGAACATTCTTGCTTCACTTTTTGATTTTGGTATGTACAACAACAGTTATCATACATGGAAAATTGTAAGTATAGAGAAATTTGTTGATATTTGATTGATTTGGCCATCTTACATTAGACTATTCAAATTAACTGTTTTACTCAAACTATTTAATGCAATCATTTTGTTTGTACGTTGGTATGCTTCTAAAACTTTGCACAGCAGTAGGAAAGAAATTCTATTATGAACTGTTTGAATCCAACTTGTTTTGGATCATATATATCAGTTTTCTTGAAAAAAAAAAAGAAAAAAAAAACTCTGTTGCAATTGCAGAGTAATTCTAATTAAATTGACAATTACATTGAGGTTTCATTTGGTAATTCCTTCGCAAAGTATAATGAGCTGTGAATCCTAGAGGGTCCCCAAAGGGAAACATACATTCAGCAACCATCTAATACCTATAACTATGAATAATTTAATCAGTCATCATTTATTTCTTTTTGGCAAACAGTTACAATTATATTCAACAGTGTGTTCAGAATTAATAGTGTTAATGTATTTATTAAATTTATTTTTGACATGCTTTTCAGACTATTTTTATTTTTTATGATTTCATCTTCTTTTTGTATAGCAAAATCCTTTTGTTGGTGAGTCCCATCCTCTTAAACCAAAAAATTTCTGCTATCTTAGACATTCTTTAGCTTGATGCCTTTCTCTTACTATTTTACTTTGGCTCATTCCTTATATTCTCTTTTATTATGTTAGCATTTATTCTTGGTTTGTCACAGCCTGGTATTCTTCCTTTCTAATCAGGGTTTGATACTTCAATAGTTTCAAACGCAGATTGCAATTTATGTCCAGGCATTTGAGTAAGAGAATTTCATTTCAAACTTCATTCCTCACTTTTCTGTATAAAGTATTTTTCTCACTTCCTTCTTTCTTTTGTTTTCAATTAAATACATTTTATTCAGGCATGGATTATGTTCTTTCTGTCCCTTCTTTTTTGCCTTGTATGTGATTTCACATATGTTATAGGGAAAAGTAATAATTAGAAACTTGAATTATGTGGAGTTGAACGTCATTCACACTTTCAATCTGCAAACAGAGCAAATCTCAAATTTTCACATTCGTTCGTATTTGCTTTGCTTTTAAATTTAACAGTATTTTTTATATCAGTCTATTTAGCCCATTTCATGAGATAAATTGGCTAAGCCCATATTAGTAGGATTAAAAAGATAATTATGTTATCCAAGAAGTCACAACTTGAAAAAATAGCTATGATTTATCTTAATTTCATAGCATGTACTACTACCTTCAACCACAACTAAAATAAGTTAGTAATTTTGTTTCCAGAATAAAATTAAAAGTTATGTATATCACGAGTTACCTTGGTCTTAACAGTGTTAAAACTTAAACTTGCACAATGTTAAATGTGCCCAGACTATAATCTTCAAAACTTCTGCTATCTTAAATTAAATTTCACTTGAAACACCTCAGTCAAAGACATCAAAGATAATCTGACCATAATTCAATCCATCGGCCTATCTCATTCTAAAATAAACTTCGAACCACTTTTCCCTGCTTTTTGAATCAGAAATGATGAGGACAAATTATTTTTAAAAGATAATATAAATGAAAGGATAGAAAAGAAAGAACAACTTCGACATGGTAAAGGAGCAAGAAGAATTTTACATGAATGTCTGATCCAAATTCTGAACCTATACCCTATAGTCATAATGAGATGTGGAATGAATATGGTTCTAAAAACTTCAACTGAGATATAATTATAAGAAGAAGTACTGTAATTACAAGAAAAAAAAAACTATAATGTCTTATATGATATAATTATAATTACAAGACCTCACTAAACAACACTAAGTTCCACATTGATTAAACAAAAGAACCTGCAAACCTTTCAATAAGATATAATACTACACTCATGTTTCCATTTCTGTGAAGCCACAATATAAGCGCAATGCGAATTATTCTTTCGCCTTTTACTAAAGAATACCGTGTGCTCATATTTGAAGTGGCATGCATTTATTTTTGGAGGGATCCTTCCTTGTTGAAGGTGTCCCTGTAATCTTATACTACAATTTGTTCATATTTTAAGTGCTATGTTTCTATATGTGGAGGGATCATTCCTTGTTATTATATGAGGGTTACTCTGTTAAATAATGTTTAATTTGTTCATAACGTAAGTGCTATGTTTCTATATGTGGAGGGATTATTCCTTGTTATTATGAGGGGTCCCACCTTGTTAAATAATGTTTATATAAGTGTTTATCATAATTTAGTGGTCATTTTCACTAGGATTATGTATTGAAGAATCTAGTGTCAAACTTTTATGGGTTATCTTCACTTGGATTATGTAGTTCAAGGTTGTATAATTTTAGACTTGGTTATGCATTTTATATGGAGATCAAATAAGATTAGTGGGCTAAATATTTACAAAACAATAGCTGTATTAAACTACCTAATCAAAACTAATACAAGGATAGGTTGAGTGTTATTCCTAACTTATTATCCAACACCAGGTTTCAAACTCTACATCTCACCCTTTCTAACAAGACTAATACTCCTATTCCAAAGCTGATCTTTCATTTGGATTATGCTAAAAGCATCCTGCCAGTCAGACAAACTTGAGAGCTGTCAAGCTCCAGAATAGTTTGAAAAAAAAAAAAAAATTATTCATAGCCACCAACAATATGCATCATAGTTAGAGATTCACAAATCTTATTTACCAGAATTAAGAACCACACTATTGGTTCTAACGATTGTGGAAGTGATAATGAATGTTATATGTTTTTTTTTTTTTCAAATTACAATGTATTGGCGCCTATATATAGGAAATATGGTATTTTTCAAATTGTTGTGGAGCTTGAAAACTCACTCAAAAAATTATTGTCTTCGACGGGCTAGATTGCTAAATAGTCTTTCCTTAAGTTGAGATTGCTAAATAGTCTTATGTTAAGGTGAGATTATGGCTTGGATAAGCTATAATTTGACATCAACATTATGATGTTTAAGAGTGAAATACCTTTTAATTTTTGAAGATGTAAAGTTTAGAACCTTGTGTTGGATAAAATTTAAGTTAAAAGGTGTATTTTTTTTATTTTACCAATGACACATTATTTAAATTAAGTTTCCTAGCATGTGTAAAGTTTTAACCCTTTATTATGTCTCCATAGGTTGAATTAAAAATAAACAAATTGCAAATAAAATTTGGAACTACGTGCGATCATGAATTACATAACCCAAATAGAGATAATAAAAACAAAAATTATAATGTCATATGCCAAGTAAATATAAAATAAAAATTACTTAAATCTAAAATATCAAAAATACAATATTTATTTTGATAAATTTTCACCATTTGAATAAAAATAATAAATTATTTTATTAATTGTGAGAATTATGGGAGACAAATGTTAGAAGTTTGTGAATATAGATTCAGCAAAAAAAAAAAAAAAGCTGAAGGAAGGAGATTTGTTGAGTGGCCGGTTAGCGGAATGGAATGGCAGAGATGGATTGGGCTTAAAAATAGTAGTTCAACCCATCTTTGAAGCGGAACACAGCTGCCCACTTTGCAATCATACATTAAGATAATTTGAATCATCCTGAGTTCCACATTGATTAATAAAGAGAACCTCCAAACCTTCTGCAGTATATATTACCAAACATATTCTAGTATGTTAATGGAATCACGTGGTAACCAGAGAGTAATCTACTTTTATGCAAACAAAGACTCGTTCGTTATTTTACAACTTAATAACGTAGGGTAAACTTTTTATTAATAAATTACAATAAACAACTTCTAACCTAGTGTAACTTTTTATTAATAAATTACAATAAACAACTTCTAACCTAGGGTAAACTTTTTATCACTCAAGAATTCTAATTTTATAAATTACGAATTATATTTTTTTTGTCAATATGAAATAAAAAGTTAGAATGTATAATTCTTTCAAAATAACAATTTAATCACTTCTATAAATTAGGTATGACTTTGATGATAAGATTAAGTTAAATTATTAATTAAAAATATGTATTTTTTATAAAATAAAAATTAATCAAGATAAACTATGAAAAAATATATATACTTTTTATAAATCAAGATAATTTATTAAAAAATGTGTTTTTATAAAATAAAAATTAAGCAAGATAAATTATAAAAAAATGTTTTTATTATAAAATAAAAATTAATCAAAATAAATTGTAAAACAAAGTTTTTTTTATAAAAATGAATACAAATTTAAACACGCTGAGCGAAAACAAATATATTTATTTTTTCTTACAAAATAAAAATGAAAACACGCCTGGTGGGACTCGAACCCACAATCGTCTGATTAGAAGTCAGACGCCTTATCCATTAGGCCACAGGCGCTCATGTTATAGAATTTTGTAGGTGTATAAATATCATTTTAAGCAATAACTCTCACATAAAAATTTTTAATCCATATAATTTTTTTCAAATTTATCCAATGTGCAACTTTAATTTACATACAACTCATCAAGTTAGAACTTTCTCATTAAGAGTGAAATACTGTGATTTTTTAAAATGTAAAGTTTAGAGTTAGATATTGGATAAAAGTTAACATCAAAGGTGACAAAATTTTCATTTTATCAATTACACTAATTAAAGAAAGTTTTCTAGCATGTGTAATGATTTTGATTGGTATTAATTTTGATTAGCTAGTTAGACAACCATTTGTATTACAAATTCTCTACTGTAATCTTTGTTGATTTCTGCTGTTTGGTTCACTGATTGATCACTGCATAGATTTCTGTTGTTTAGTGTACTGATTGATCACAGCTCAATATGAATTTGCTTTTCTAATATTAGTCTTTTGACTTTATAAAAAGGAATTTGGCCTTAGAAACTTATTTTCAAAATTAATCCTTTCTAATTTACTGTACAGTATATAATTACAGACCAGTCATTATCCGCTACTTGT